CCGCCCCAACCGTCGCCCCAGCCTCCTCCGTATCTGCAAGTAAATCAAAACCCTCCCTCAACCGTAGATCTACAAGGAGATGATATCGAATCACCGCACGTAGATCTAATCGGAAAGAAGAAGAATAAGAAAAAGGAGGGGAAGGGAGAGAGAAAATGATGGCCAGATCTGGCCGAGAAAGGAAAGGAGAGAAACAAGAAAAAGAAGAAAAAGAAGAGGGAGTGAGAGTGGCGTGTTTTTGCTGAGAAAAGAAAGGGAGAAAGAAGGAAAATGAGATGAAGAAGAAATGAAGAAGAAGATAATTGGGAGAAGAAAAATAGAAGGGGGAGGGGGGAAGAGAGAAAGAACGAGAGAGAAGAAAAAGAAAGGGACTGGCCAGGTCTGCGAGAAAAAGGGGGGAGAAGAAAAAAGAAAAGAGGAAGAAAGAAAGGAATAGAAGAAGGGGTATTTTAGGAAGAGTGAGTATGAAAACGTAGAATGGGAACTTAATTTCCGGACGGAGAAAAACGTAGAGTGGAAACTTTAATTCCGGACGGAGGGAGTAGTTTTTATATTAAAATTATACTTATAGTTTTTTATAGTTCTCTACTTATAGTTTTTTATATTCTATAATTAAAAAAATTATTATTGTAAAAATATTTCTTTTTAAAAAAAAACTTTAAAAATAATAATGTTATAGCTATAATTCAAACTTAAAATCATTGATAAAAAATCAACTCTTCTTTTATAAAATTTTTAATATTGTTTTTACATATAAAAAACTTTATTTTTTAACATAGTAACATAACTCAAATAAATTAATTTAGTTTTGGTCAAACGCCATAAATTATTTACTTTGGGTATTTATAAATGAGAGAGTAATTTTTATTAGCTATATACTTTGTATAATTTTTCATACATCCAAACACACACACACAGATATATTTAAGAACCTTTTTAGAAGTTTCGAAATTCTTTTTTGTATAAGAGTAATTCTTGTAAGTTTGTATTTTTTTGTTTTGTTTTTCCATATTTTTTTTGCTTTGTATTTTCTTTTTGAACTTCCCAAAAAATATTTCTTTTTGATTCTAGAAAATGAAAAATTGAAAATGTTTACTTTGAGATAAATGAAGTATAGGTTAATTTTTTCATTTTTTTTCAAACATAAACATTTTTAAAGTTATAAAATACTATAAAAATTTAGACAACCAAAAAATAAAAGATAAGAAAAAAAAGAGATTAAAAAGGAAAACGACCAAAAAATAAAAAAATAATGAGAAATAAGCTCAATTAGTTGCCTGTATGGTTTTAAAAATATGCACCAATGACTCTCTATTCCTTGAAAAAATAGCTAAAAATAGCTGTATCGGATCCAATTTTTCAAGTCACAAAAGGCACGAGAGTCACAAAAGGCACCAATGACTCTCTATTCTTTTTGTTTACCTTAACAAAAAGAAAATACTCCTATATCCCAATTCAAATATGACATATTTTAATTTATTATATTTGACTGAAGTTATTTTTAAATAATGAATGTAAGTATATATTAAAAATTTCCATATAAATTAAAAGCATTGTACAATCTATTGATAAGATTATACTACGCATAATGTTAACTTTCAAATAACTCTCCTTTTCACCTGTTTCAATTATTAATAATTTGGATTCGGGGCATCGCAAAATGGAAAATTAAAAAGTAAAATTTGCACGGAATATGACTAAAATATAAATTATTTTTGAATTAGGACTTAAACTTTTTTATTCTTTAAATTTAATAATGACCAATGATCCTATCTTAGGAAATAAAAACACATGATCCAGTAAATTCCATAATTAATAAATTATACCCCTCCCTGATTAAACTTAACAAAGAAAGAAATGAATACATAAATAGAAAAGGATGAGCTCTCTCCGATCTAGTCGGATGGTCAAGAAGAAGTAAATTAGACTTTAATCATTAAAGGATGGCAGAGAGTGAAATTTGGAGATGACACTTGAAATGAACAACATGATCAACATTCATTGCAAAAACAAAGCCAAAACAAACAAACTCAAAAAACAATCAACGCACAAAACAAAAAAAAGTCATGAACTAACACGCCCGTTCACTGCTGGAGGCCGGGGAACGAAAAAAAATGTTACCCGCTCGACGGTGGTTGTCCCTTATTGTGTGGCTTGGAAGGCCCAGATCCCTTACCACCCCCTTTGACGAGGATGTTCGACCACAAACTTCCCGGCAAAACGCGCTTTCCGGCCGCCGCCGCCGCCGCCTTTGGGCGCAGTACAACTAGTGTTGGCGTTGTTCTTCCTGGCCTAGCTGCGAAGATCGGAACGACGACAAGAAAGAGAATCAGACAAACTACGACCAAAGCCAAAACACGCCGCCATGTTGCACGTAACGCCGCCATTAATTTCAATTAGAAGTTCACAATCGCAAGATCGAGATGGAGGTTAATTAAGGTTAACTCTATATATATTTTGTACTCCGTATATGAATTGAAGATATAGAAGGGGTTTGCTAAGTTTAAGCTATATATATATATATATATATATATATATATATATATATATATATATATATGTGTGAAATTTGAACTAAATAGAACTAAAACACAATGACTTTCCTAATGTAGGACTTAAACTTTTTTATTCCCTAAATAGGACTTATTAATGACCTAGTGGAAGAAATAATGTCCAGTAATGATGGATATTTAGTTAAATAATGGCTACTTAATTTTGATGAAATCTTGACCATTAGATCTCACAATCTAACGCAATAGATTCATTCTCATTTCTCTCCTAAGATTGCATTCTCACTATATATATATATATATATATATATATATATATATATATATATGTTGGAGTTCGGAAAATAAAGATGAGTATCACTTGCATATATTGAAGGGTGAAGCCCTACCTATCAGCTTAAGCTTTTGGGTTAGAATTGTGGATCCCGACTTTATATGCAAGTGGTTAATTTTACCCGACACTCTATCCGTTGTTCTCGGCCCGCCGGAATTTCTACATGGTATCGGAGCAGGTCCGGTCTGGGTTTGATTGTTCCTGGTTGTTTGGATGTGTGTTTAGCAAAAATGAGCTACCCATCTGTGGTTTGGGCTGAGTCGGCTAAAAAGAGATTGAGATGCCACTGCCCGTTGTGTGGGCTAGCTATAAGAGATTGAGATGCTAGACCCGTTTGTCCAAGTGCTAACTAGGCCAGGCTAGTTACCACTTGCGAGGGAGTGTTGGAGTTCCCACATCGGAAAATAAAGATGAGTATCACTTGCATATATTGAAGGGTGAAGCCTTACCTATCAGCTTAAGCTTTTGGGTTAGAATTGTGGATCCCGACTTTATATGCAAGTGGTTAATTTTACCCGACACTCTATCCGTTGTTCTCAGCTCGCCGGAATTTCTACAATATATATATATATATATATATATATATATATATATATATATATATATATATATGTATGTATATGTATATATATATATGTTGATTTAGTAATCCAACTCAACTGAATAATTGTATACATGGGTGTTTATATAGGTGAGAATCCCTACATGAATTAGGATTCACCAAATATGGAAACTAACATAAATAACAATTCTACCATAACTACACTTCTTGCCATATATGCCTAACATCCCCCCTCAAGCTGAACGTCGTGAAACGAGAGGAAGCTTGGCAACCAGTGTGGAGTAGCGTGGTGAAGAGAGAGCCTTTGTGAGAAGATCCGCTAACTGCTCACTGGAAGGAACATAGGAGACTGTCATTTTTTCGGCAATTACCTGTTCGCGTACAAAGTGACAGTCGGTGCCGACATGC